CTTTTATGGTTTTGAATGTTTTATCTGAGCGTTTGGCACAAACAATCAATTCACACCCTGAATTCGAAGAATTTTTGGAGAAATTTGGTTGTTTTTTGAGGCCTGCTACTCGGTCTACTCGCATGGGAATGTTGCCATCTCATCACAAGATTGTGAGAAGATCTGAGAAACACACTGAAAGGCCTCGGTTCTATCTGAAAATATATTATTATATCGACTAATAAAATGTTGGTAGAGCTTTATTCTGCCTTGATAACCATATTCATAAATTCAAAGCTTATTCTCGATAGAGTCTCACTCTCGTTCACCTTATGCAAATTGGAAACGAAAATAACTCACATTGCACTTCATGGTGCCGTACACAACAGCGATTTCAAGGCCAATCTACTGGGTGAGAAACGAAACCAATCGCCGAGTGAGTGGGGAACGTACATATTCAAATAGCAAACAGAGAAAAGATAACACACATTTTCAGCTGCGAAGACGAAGACGTGGGAGGGATCTTTACGAACAGTTGGCTCTCAGAGGTGCACAATTAACACTCCCCGGCTTTTGCATCATAAAAATAAACATTCGCAAACTGCTCGTAAGCCTCGCGGCAAAGTTGAAACACACTCGGGAATACGTACGTAGGTACGTAGTCGAGTCTGTGCTATAAACTGTTTTCGTTTTCTTTTTGCGGCTATCAGTTCCAGACATTCTTTAATTGCTCCAACTGGGAAAGGAAATCATTTTAAGTAAACAAACAGACCCAGAGACCTGTAAGCCTCTTGACGCACGTTCGCAGCCCAGTTTTGTAGCCAGCCAGCCTGCCAGCCAGCAGTTTGAATAATTAAGTCACTATGTCAATTATAAAGCCAAAGCTAGCCAAAGATATGGCAGAGAATGAGTCATGATTGAATTAACTATGGAGTAGCTAGGGACATTTTTAAAAGTTTATATCGGTCAGCGGGGACCCTTTTCTACCAAGGGATGCACTGCCAAGAGTCGTCATCCACCACAAAGGAGATCGATATTGTAAACCCAATTGTGTTTATATATCGTTTCACTTGACATCTGCTATGTTGTGTATGTTTAAAGCGATTCCGAATAACCATCCCAGACACTATAAAGCAATCAACTATAAAGCAACGACTGAGTAATCGGAAAATGAGACACAAATCAAACAGCAGCGGAGAGCTGACCTTTCGTCGGGCAATTGAACGCCTTTAGAATTTATGAGTGGCTGCCTTGTACGAGTACGAGTATATAGGTCTATAAATTGTAGCATTTAATTAAATTACCCAAGTGGCAAGGTGGAAAAGGTGGGGAAATGGCACTACCTATGTACACATTTTATCTGTTTACAGTTAATAGACATGGGGCTAGCGATGTGGATAGTGGATCCCGTACGTGTGCTGGTCAACTGATAGGCTTGGGTCAGCCATCGAGTCACATGCTTGATCGTTGATCGATCCGCGGCGTTGATTCTCGGCCCCCGAAACCGGGGACCGCCTCTGCCGCCAGGCCATTACACTTGGACAAACCCAAGCCCCAATCGATCTAATTGATATTTAAGCATGCTTACCTCTGCCAACAATCAACAAGCAACAATCAACTGACATTTGTTTTCGGCCTGGCTGTAGACAGCGGCTGACCCTGCCATTGGCACTGGCTGGAGTTGCGTAATTGCGCATACGCCATGTGAAACGACGAGTGCAAGGTGTTTGCTTGCGAAAGTGACTGGGCCGCAGTCTCAATATAGAACGAACACTACCTATAGTATGTACTATAGGTACTCATTTCTCAATCTCGGCAAATGCTGAGAAACAAAACATTTCAAGGTCTTGAAAAGTACTCTATAAAAATTACAAAGGCAGCATGACTCAAGTCTTCGATTAGAATAGTAGTAAACTTTATCTGGGGCAGCTTGCGGCGGTTAGGGCCTTAGTCCGCTATAAGTCCAGCTGCATCGGGTTTCTCTTAATCAAATAAAATTGCTGCAATTAAATTATATGTTTATTATACGCGATTTTCACCCTAAGAGCATGATGAGCCCGAATTTGCATGTTTAAATTTTGACTGATTTAATTTTTGGCCTTTGAAATGTTATATTAATTTGTTTGCTGTTTTTGTCGTTGTTTTGTTTTGTTTGTAGCTCAGCGACTGCAAAGAAACCCAAAGACCCGTTAGAGCAGCGACAGAGCGACGATCGACGGAAACGGAAAGTAAAAGCCATCTCACCCAGATACAGACACAGACACTCTAACACAAGCACAGACATGGCGGAGACGATCAACAACAAGCCGAGCATACAGATTCGGAGTGGACTGCCCTCCCCGCTGCCGGACAAGAGCCCCTCGCCGGCCACCAAGCTGCTGATCAGCCATGGCAAGCCCAACTTCACCATCGGCAACAAATCGCCCAAGGCCGAGGAGAATGGCACCAGTCCATTGTCGCCCCAGCAGACCGCCAGCAACAACTACAATCCCTACAAGAGTGCCAGCAACAACGGGAGCAACAGCAACAGCAACGGCACCGGCAACGGCACCGGGAGCGAGATCAACAAATTCATCGTCGGCACCAAATTCAATGGAGTCTTCAAGCCATCGACAGCGGCCACTAGCTGGGCCACCGCCACCACCAACGGGAACGGCTCGTTGAATGGGAATGGAGCTGCTGCCGGCGGAGAGAATGAGGCGTCCAAGGTCGTGCTACGTCGTCCGAAGGCGGCGACATCTCCGCCGCCCGCCGAAGCCGAGGATGATAATGTGCCGGAGTTCATCAGACGTCAGCGACGCATCCAAGAGCGTCTGGCCAAGGAGAATGTGCTGGACTTCGAGAACCGTCGCAGTGGCTACTTCACTCACGTCGTGATCTCGCCAGACTCGCCCAATCGCACCTCGTTTGTGGAGACCATGGCCAGTCCGGCCATAGTTCCGTCCCTTGAAATGCCTGCACCAGTGCACGAGAAGGTCGGCGAGGAGGAGGAGGAAGAGCAGAAGCAGCAGCAGGAGCAGCGGGAGCGTGCCACACCTGTGACTACATCAGCCCTGATTAGCGAACCAGAGACGGTTGCGGCTGTCACCAATGGTCACAGCGAGGAACCCGAAACCACCACCAATGGGCATGCAGATCAGGAGTATGTGGCTCCCGACGAGGTGGCCAAGGCCATTGAGGAGGTCAACAAGGCGGTGGCTGGGGAGGATGATGACAAGCCCGACGCAGAGACTCCAGAGCCGGAAGCAGAACCAGTTTCAGCTCCAGCTCCAGTTCCAGTACCCGTTGAAAGGAAGATTGAGTCAGAGGACGAGTCAAAGCCAAAAACTGAGGAGATCATCCCAGCGACAGCAGCGCGTACACCCTCTCCCGTTGAGGCTCAAGTGGAGGTTGTGCAGCATGTGCAAAACGGCGAGACCGCTGCAGCTACAGCTGCACCTGCCACAAATGGCCAGGACACCGATGGCATCACCATTTCCCACACCAATGGCCAGAGCAGCGATGGCCCCAGCATACCCTCGCCGGACCCCAGCGGTGCCCTTGGCGTCAACTACGAGCCCAAGACGGTGGTTAGCTTCTCACAGGAGCTGGGCGGTGGCGAGAACAACTATCCCGACACGGTCAAGGTGGTGACCTCTGAGTCCTCTGACGGAGAGCTGAAGGATCTGGCCAAACTGAAGTTCGACATCAAAAACGATGGCCAGGCGGACGATGTCCAGGTGACGCCCGTGCTGCGTGCGGAGTAAATGTGCGGACTCTGGCCAGGATTAGTTCAATTGTTGTTAAAAGGGCAGGCGAGGCGAGGCCAGACGAGAGAAAGAAAGAGAGAGAGAGAGAGAGCTATCTATGTATTGTATTTTGTGTTAGCTGCTAAGTTGATTATGAGAAATGTTGCCAAATTTAATTTAATGCATCGCGCATCAGTCAGTATCGAGTATCGAGAATGGACAATGGAAAACGGATAAACGATTATGGATTATGGACAATGGATCATCCATGAAGCCCTAACCAGATTGGACTATGACCATGGAAATAGCCAGCTGTTGAAGGGAGCTGTTGGCTGCTAAGCCTGCTAAACTAAACCAAACTACATTTATTTCAATAGAAACCATTTGCTTTATTTAAATAAATTATTATTATTAAAAACGAACATTGCTTGGCATTTCCCTTGGATTTTGTTTTATTCTCTTGAAGTATTTCAAAGATAGGACTAATCAGCCTTCGATAAAGTTGGTTTATAACAGATAAGAGAGCACGAACATTCGTTCTAAAGTCCGCCAAAAGTAAAGTTTTATTAAAAATTTCTTGTCGAAGAATTGTCTGGACGGCTTTCGGCTGATGGATCCAATATATATCCCCATGTGGTTTGGGGACCTCGCACCGATCTCAATGAATGGATTACTTTTGTGAATGAAAAAACGAAAGTGTTGGCTGAGGTCTAGCATTGAACCCTGAGGTGTAGCTGTCCTTCGCTTCGATATGCTCTACCGGCAATCAGTTGACTTCCATGATTAATTGCCTCGATTCGGTGGGTCTTGTCTGTACGCGATAGTCAGTGATTGATTGCGAACATAATAAATTATAACATAATAATTTAATTGAATTGGAAAAGACCGACTGTGGACGGCTGAATGGTGAATCATAGACACCGACCGAGTCACGTGGGTTCCATGTAGAAGACACCTGTACCTGTCAGGGGTTGGACCCGGTAGCGGTAGTGGCCCGGTAACCATGTCAACTCTTGGCCCAGGCGGACCGGCCGACTGTTTTGGGGGTTGCAGTGCTGACCAGCATTACCAACATCTGTCCTGCACCTGACCCCTTACACATGCGTTAAATCGATATGCCGCAGCCATGAGGTGGTTGTTTTCCCCTTTTGGCCAAAACAAAGTGCCGCTCGACCATGTTACAACTAACGAATTGTCAAATGGGGTTCAGTTCAGTTGAATCCTTAGCTCGAAATCAGTTGGCCATGGCACTCCTGTCAGTTGAAAACTGACTACTTAGATGAGCTGCCCCCCGATTTCTGATTACTAATTTGCAAGCGATTATGGATCTATGTCTTCAGGGCTCGCAGGTAGGTGGACTAGACTCCCTCTACTATTATCCTATTTCGCTACATTCGAACCTGGGACGCAGATAAACCTCGCCACACGACAGAAATCGAAACCGAAGTACAACAGTCGCTCGTTGACGACTCTCCACAATCCGAGCCCGCACTTTCGGCCCCGCTCGGCAAACTTCCTGCAGCAACGCAGTCGCTCCTCGCCCTTCCTGGGACGACCACAGTCCGCGGACCCGAAGTTCGGACAACGGCTGAGCGTCTACTTCAACGATAAGGAGCTCAAGTCCCACAGCAAGGTTTGTTGAGCTTGATCCACAAGAATATTAAGGATCTTTCCATCATTTTAATATCTTATACATCTTCAGCGCCAGGTGTCTTCCAACGACTTGCTTAAGTCCCTGCTGGGGGAGCCCATCAAACGGAGCTGGTTGTGCCGCAGCGCCAGCGCGTGCAACTCTTCAGAGTCGGACTTCTCCTCGCAAAAGCGCACTCCGGACAGCAGCGAGGGAGAGCAGCAGCTGGAGCGCTTCCTGGTGACTATGCCCGTCGGGGATAAGAACAAGTCCTTTGGTACCAACTGGACGGGCCAGAGCCAGGGCCAGGGTCAGGGTCTCAGCAATGCGACCCTGCTACAGAAGACAGCCAAGCCGGATCTGCCGGGGCGTGTGTCCTTCAGCAAACCCAACATGCACCACGATGCAGACTCTAGCGACTGCGACAATGACAAGCAGGAAACACGGCCCAGCATCTCGGCTCCCGGCCCAATAGCTCTGCCCAGCTTCCACAGCAAGGCGGAGCCCCCAGATTCGGCTGGCCAGAAGAAATCCGTGCACTTTGGCTCTACCGCAGCCGAGGGCGAAGTTCTGGCCGAGACGTACGAGTACCCCAAGTGCCCCTCGGAGAACTGCACCTGCAGTACGCGTTCCTCCTCCACCACCAGCATGAATGAGGCCTCTTCCGCTGAGGTCAAGTGTGCCTGCGACACCCCCAGCTGTCGCTTTATGGAGTCCACTCCGCTTCTGGACATGGCGCTTCCATCTCCGCCCTCTCCCCCTCTGCTGGTTCCCCAAAAGTCCACCACGCCAGAGCTAAACGTCATCAGGGAGTACAAGCAGGCAGTGGGGGTTCAGATCGTAAGGAACCATCTCGGTACGGACCGTTCACCCAAGCATATGGAGCCTTTGAACAACATCGAGCCGCTTCCCAGCTATCTGGACAAGTATGCCCCAGTTCCAACACAGTCAGCGGCAGCGGCACCGGCCAAGGAGAAGCAGAACAATCTATCCGAGACCAAGAACCTGGCCACTATTATTCCAAAGGGCTCTCCGAAGAATAACAGCACCCACAGTGCCTCCAGCCAGCAGTACACCAGTGCCAGCGGTCGGAACTTTGGGGCCGAAAACAACTTTCTCCCAGCGGTGCAGGATGACCGACGAAAGTACGGCAACGGCAACAGCAACAGCAGCGCAGACTCGGTCATTAACAACTACCTGAAGGTGGCATCCACTCCGCCATTTGTGGGAAAGAAGAAGGAGAATGTAAAGCCCGCCAGTGCCGAGGCCAACAACAACAGAATCAGCAAGTCGAAGCTCCCAAAGACAGGAATACCCATTAGCGCCTGTCCCGCTGGGAAGCTCAAGAAGGCGGTCAGTGTGGGGAGCCTGCGGGAGGAGCGCAAGCTCGGTGAATACAATCTGGACAAGGTGGACAGCTGGATGAGCATACAGGAGCAGAAGCAGGCTCGTGCCCAGTTCGAGGAGTTGCACAAGCAGAGACTGGAAGGGGATGGTCTGGAAGATGCCAATGACATCGATAGTGGGTCACAGCTGTCCCTGAAGTCAAACGAAGACTCCAGGGACTCCACCTACGACGAGATAGTGTCGGTGATCAAGGAGATCGAAGAGGACAAGAAGAGAGGTAAATTGTTAGACAGAGTGGAGTATATACCCCTTAAACTGAGCTTGGTCCTAATAGAATATCATCTTCATAGACAACTATGCCGAACGTCTTCCCAACGACCTTAAGCTCAACCTAAAGTTGGATTCGCGCTGCGAAACCGCCGAAACGGGGACTATGAGTGAGGGACCTGTCCAGGAGAGCGGCGACAAGTACAAGTAAATATCGAGTTGAATAAGGGCGAAATGAACTCTAAAGAAATAACGAGAATGCCAAACCGTTCTAGGGACATCTTGGCCTATCTGAACAATGTGGAAAGTAGCTGTGACAAGACGCTGATGGAAACACGGCGGTCCATGCCGGATAGCAATCGTTCGGAGGTTGAGTTTGTGGTGGAACCCGACATCACAGACGAAGTACCCAAGTAGGTGAAAGATCCTGAATCTTTGGATTCTCCTAGCTTTGCTGATCGATTTGGCTCTGCTTTCCAGGCTATCGGAACTGTTGATGCTGCCCAACCATCAACTGGCCCGCCGTGTCATTGGCCTGGGCCTGCGGGCCAATGAGCTGGCCAATGCCATTCACCTGTCCAAGGAGCATGTGCTGCAGTTGCGCGAGGAGAAGCAGAAGTCGCTGCGGGCCGAGAAGACAAACAATGCCGGCAAGCTGCGCGACCAGAAGAAACACTACGAGGAGGTGGTGTCCCGGCATCAGGGCTTTATTGAGCAGCTTCTGAAGGATAAGGGGTCGTTGTGCGAGAAGGTGGCTGCCCTGACGCGGCGCCTGGAGAGCCAGAACCAGGCCTGGGAACATCGACTGGAGACGGAGCTGACGCGGGCCAAGGAGACTACACTGGCGGGCGAGAAGATCCGACGCGAGCGCTGGGTCCGCGAGAACACCAAGAAGATTAAGGTGGGTTAGGTGGAGGCAAGTTTTTAATAGTTCTGTTTAATTTTTCTGGCATTTCCACGTCCACTGGTAGGAGCTGACGGTGAAGGGCCTGGAGGCGGAGATCAACAAAATGAACTGCGACCATCAGCGCGAGGTCACGGAGCTGAAGCGAAGCCATCAGATGCAGTTGCTCGACGCTCTTGAGGAGGCGCGCCTGAAGCACGAGCAGATCGAGACGGGCATTCGGGAGAGCTGCACGCAGGATCGCGAGTCCATCATCGAGAAGGAGCGCACTGCAATACGAGAGCGCTTCGAGCGCCAGCTGCAGGAGGAGCAGAGGGCCCAAGCGGATCAGCGCCAAAAGCTGAGCGAGGAGTTCGCCGCCGAACGGGAGCGGCTGCAGACGGAGCTGCGGCAGAAGGAGAGCGACTACCAGGCCAAGCGCCAGGAGGCGCAGCGCGAGCAGGACATCGAGCTGGAACAGGCCAAGTTCGAGATGCAGGAGAGGATGGCAAAGCAGGAGGAGAAGTACCAGAACCGCATCAACACCATCGAGCAGCAGTACCTGTCCGACTTCGAGCTGTGGAAGGCGGAGTACGAGAACAAGTGCAAGTTGGACCAGGCCGAGAAGGAGAATGCCATCCGGCAGCACTATCGGGCGGAGCGGGATCGCCAGTTGGATGAGCTGGTGGTGCGCATGGAGGCCGACGCCCTGCAGAACGGCGAGGAGCACGAGCAGAAGATCACGTAAGTAACTTGAATGCTTGTGTAGCCAATTCTTCTGCAACGTCCATCCTTTGCAGCCGGCTCAAGGAAAAGTACGAGAAGGATCTGACCTTGGCCGAGAGTGTGGAGAAGTCCCTGAGGGAGAAGTATGCCGAGACGCGGAGCAAGTTGGCCGAGGCCGATGCCCAGGTGCGCAACTCCCAGGCGGAGGTCCAGCAGCTCCAGCTGGAGCTCAGCCACAGCAAGAAAATGTGCGGCGACATCATCGGAGAAAGAGACAAGCTCCGCGAAAACCTCAACGCGGACATTCAGAGCGAGCTGAGCGTCCTCAGCGAGCGCCACAAGCAGGAAATGGAGCAGCTCCAGAAACGGTAAGCAACAGCATCATGGCCCTATCCGCGAAATGTTCGCCACTCATTTATCAATCACTTCTCGATTTGCAGGGTCCACCATACCATTCACCGACAGGAGGAAACCATTGAGGTACTCAAGGGCGACAACGATGGGCTGCGACAGCAGTGCCTCAAACTTAACGCTGTCATTCGGCAGCAACGAAAGGACTATTGCGTCAAGTAGATAGCTAGGATACGAGTACTAGTAGTAGATAGCTTCATAAACATGAATACTTCCAAAGAGTAAAAAGATAACACTTAGAAACTTACCCGCTCCATAAATTTATTAATTTAACTTTGACTGAATGGGAAAGCCATTTTTCGTTAACAAAGAAATTATTCTGACTGGGCGTGATTACTAACTTAATAAAAATAATTATCTGCGGCAGGCGTTTCCCTCATGCCTCGGCAACGAATTGTAGCCACTCGAATATCTGCTGAACTGATGTTCCTTCATGCAGAAAATAGATTCTGCGCAGACAAACATCTTCTCCTCCTCACATCGGGCAGCCCAGACACCGAAGGTTTCCTGGTCCGAAGACCTTATAACTGCACAGTTATGATGCTCGTCGCTCAAGCCACTTTCGAGTGGCAAATAACGGGTACTGTGGTGGGTTGATACGTAACTCCAGTCCTCTGTAAAATTCCTGTTCAAGCCAAACCAGTACTCCGAGTGACTTAGAGTCAGGGAACTCAGAATTCGAAAGTGTTTCTCAGTATCAAAGTCTGCCAGGCACATGCTCATTCCCATGCATATGTCCAATGCAGTTTCCCAGTTTTTCTACGAGAATTTAGATTGAAGTTGTGAGCTGTGGAAAATGTTGAGAATACAATCAGCTCAACTACCTTTACGACACTAAAGTAGTGGCAAGTTCCTCTGGACTCCACTCGATGAGTGTCGATGATAAAAATAAAGAAAACTATGGATATAAAAATTGAAAATCGGAGGTCTCGATCTAGATCCATGTCGGCTTCAATACAAAGTAGGGCATGACCAGCAGCTACCAAATGAGATTAGGGCATAGAAAACTCTGTTATTGCTACAGAGGCATGCCAAATGGATTGGATTTATACATTTGCACGCAGTAATCGTTTATTTCAGAAATGTTCCTTCAATATTTATTCATTTTATTAGTTTCGATCACTCAAGTGTTTCGATCAAATAAATTAATTACCACAACGAACCCACCAACAATCTTGCCATTTTTCAGGAAGGAAAAACTGACTCTGTTGAGTCCTTTAATTGTGAAAGATGGCCAATTATCGGTGGACATGGCAACATTTTTAGCGTAATATTCACCCTTGTGGAACGGGCACAGGTCATCGCCGGTGGGTAAGTTTGAATCCAAAAACGAGGGCTGGTAATATTTTCCAAAAATGTTCTTCATAAAATCGCATGGCTTGGTGCGTATTTTCAAATTCATTGGCATCCATTCTCCGTTCTTAAATGTCGCAATATCTATCCATACGTCATATTGCTCATCCATATCAACGTGGCTGATTAAAGATCCATTTAGCAGTCGGTCTCGCCCAATTAATTTGAGATTGAATTCAAACAAGGTTTCTTCATCAACCTTTATATTCTCGAGTGATTCAAGTCTTACATCATAGTTTGATATTCGCCGGCACTGTAAGTCCACTGTAAGTGTTTGCTTGGCATATGTGGAAATCAAATATCTACCAATGTAGGATCAAGCCACAGGATGAAAACAACCGTTGCACACCATACGGACATTTTCACTTATATGTAGTTATACTGCTTCTGTAATGGGGCCGTAGCATCAGTTGATCTTTATATATACGAGTACGAAAGTTTTGCATGCTGAACACTAATTAATTTGGGACTTTTCGTTTGACACAGATGTGCATATTAATAACTAGTTCTGCGATGGAGGCGTGGCTCAAACTAATGTTAAATGTTGGCACGTTTTCCTTGCATGAACTGGCACATCTATATACTGTAGGGCTGGTGGTTTTGCTGAACGGAAGCCACTTTTTTTAATGGAAAGACTTCCATAATACATCTAAAATAAAAGCACTAATTTATTTCGAATTCAAAAAGCGCGCCTTTTCCTTATGTTCTTCAGCACTGAGCATAGCACGATAGTGGACTTATGAGGAAATAAAAGCAATGTGTTGTATTAAATATTTTTCGCTCATTACTTTCAAACAATTTATATTTGGCGCGCACCACTCGTAACCAGTCGATGGTATCGATAGCCGAACTTCAATCGGGTAAGGCTCTCTTTGAACCGGTTGACGACAATGAGCCCCATTCCATACACAATGTTGCGGGCAACACTAATTTTCATACCCTAGGGAAGGAATATTATAGAATTGAGAAAATGTTTGTCATCCCAGGCTCAGTAGGTCACAAGATACTAAAAATATGCATCAATATGTGTTAAACGTATCAATATGAGAAAATGTCTTTATTAAGTACGTGTTAAAAGTAGTTTGGAAATCATTGTCTTCATATGAAATTATCGAAATAGGGTATACAAAGGCATACATATATACGCAACAAGTCTTCAAATGCCAGCAACATTGGGACTGTTTTTTTTTTTTGGTGAACTATGGAATGGAAATATGGAATGGATCTACAAGAAGAATTTACATGCGTTAATATTTCCCGACATTTACCTCAAGTAGTTGAACTATTTAAATAAAGGGGGCTTAAGTGGGCTAAGTTCGTACAATAAAACTTGAATTCGTCAGTATATTTACGGTATATTTTTAAAATGAGATGGTCATATTTTGGTATATTTCTGAGGGTCTTTCCAGCGTGGCGGGAGTTTCTTTAAATGTTAATTATGCTAAACAGAAATTTCTCTACTATTAGCAACTGCTTTCCGCTAGTTTGCAAGGTGAGTGATAGTCGGAGGAAGGTGCGTGGATAATACAACGCCTGTTTTTACCACATAGGCCATAGAAACACAATGCGGAATTACGCAGCAGGGACCTGTGGCCAGGTATGAGCTGGACCAACTCTTGAGACAACTAAATGCTAAGGAAAGGGTGAGTACGCCAGCTTCGATGCACATGAATACATATGTACATAAGGATACCTTCTAGCTATTGGCATCCAAATTCTATTGCCAGTTACCAGCCAATGTTGGCAGCTTTCGGGTTTTACTTCAGCTACAGCAATTGCGGATCCTCACCGCCACGGAGTATATATTAAGGTACGATTCGCCAAATTCAATATGATCAAAATGTGACAATGATTCATCCCTGATATCAGTAAAGAACACTCTGAGCAGCTCCAGGTGAATTTAATTATATTTCTGGAAACTGAGTACGAGCTCCTGGCCAATCTCTTTGTATCTGCGGCCTATGGTTGGTTCATACCCAGATGATATTTGCACCCCATTTTATGTGTTTCTATTCTTGACAGATGCGGAGTCTGGAATGAAGCTTTCGGCTATTCTGGCAGACGCTTTGGGCAATCTCTTTACTGGACTCGTGGCCGATCCGAAGATAAGCAACCTAAGCTATGTCGAGCCGTTGTGCAGTGCCCTGCCAGGTAAGAGGATCCCGGAAATATCTTCAAAATAATGCTTTGATGCTAGCAGCCGATGCCATGGGCGTGTGTATGAATATGCATTTGAGCACCTTGCTGGAACTGCACAAAGCTAAGGACATCAATGAGGCATTTGCCAGCTTTAGTGCCTGGATCAATGAAGGTGTGGACGAGCTAACCTTTGTAAAGCTTCTCTGTGAAAAGGTTTCCACTGTCGGATAAAGGCTAGTTGCTGAGACTAACTGAAACATTCTTTCAGCTCTTTGCCTGCCATCACCAAGAGGCTCTTCAAGTCCTGTTCAAACAGTCAAACTCCGAAAACTTCACGAATTGGAAGTTCTACCTCATCTTGGTACAGTCCATAGCCAGCACCTGCAATTCGGAAACAACAGCGTTTATGAAAAGTAAACATTGGTTTGAAGGTCTATACCCATGTATACATATTTATGCATATCCACCATAGAATACCTCAAAGGCCGAGTACTGCACATGGCTACAACTGGTTGTCTGACTTCTCTCTTACATTTGTTGCTGACGGCGCGTGCCACGTCAGCCTGCACAATGGACATTCACAGCAATCTCGATAACTACGCTAAGTGGTACAAGCAGAACATTGGGGAAATGTCCTACCTCCTGCGACCAGAACATTTTCAGATGGCCCTAGGTCTTCTAGAGGAGTCGTTGCATTATGAAAGTGAACTGCAGTACCTCGAGGTAAAGCCTTTTCATATCCCAAATGTGCGGAATTCTAATTGTTTTTCATTAAAGATCCATGCAGCGATTGCTCTATCACCTGGAGGTCGAATTGTTCAGGCGTACAAAACAAAATGTCGAGCATATTTGTCCCAGTTAAAAAAAGGGGAGAAAGCGCAAGCGTCTGAACGAAAATAATGCAAAAAATAATCTTAGCAGCTGACTGCGGTCTTAGGATAAGGTTGATGATATTTTCGAACTCAAGGTTCAGGCCAATTGAAAGTAATTTATTAAAATAGCAGCGTAGCATTAAAAATTCAAATGCCGAGTATTGTCGATACTTCAGGGCTGAGCTGGCAGGGCACTTCCGTGGGGAAGTTGGAAGCAAAGCTGCTGTTCGTCTCAAGGCCATTGCATTTTACGGTAGGGGTGCACACAAATCGTTTGAGCTGCCCGCAAGATGCTGTACTAATAGCGTACGCGTCAGGACCCAAAGGTTTTAGGTACCCGCACGCTGCTGATAATGAAAGTTGGGATTGTGGCGGCACGTAGTTCTGCGGCTGGTTAGAGGATACGTATTTAAAGGTAATTTTCTCGTATCCATTTAAGCCGAACCAATACTCTTCGCGGTCAAGCAGTTTACTTTCGATCTCTTGGAAGGTTTGTGCGGTGCTTACATCAGCCAAGCACATACTTAAACGTTGGCAGGTAGTCAGGGCATCAAACCAGTCGCGCTGTGGGTGGCAGATGTCAGCTTCTTTGACGACAAGTAACACAGAAATAAATCTACCTTGTCAGTGCTGAAATAATGGCATCCGGAGGAGTTTACTTCACCGATTTGCCAATTCCAGATGCATACAAATATGCTTAGACAAAATGTGAGCCGCTTCACCTGTAGATCCATTGCACCTTGCTTAAGAACGGGTAACAGAATTGTGGTAAAACTCTTTCGGTTAAGACGTAGGCGAATAATGCAGTTAAGGCGTTTATAATCTAGTTAGTGCACGTCTCAGCTAACGATTCGCCTAAATAAATTAAATCTACTTATGCTCGGTATTTGATAATGCCAATGCAAAGAACATTCTGAGTTCCGAAAACTGAGCTGGATCTACTGCCAAGGTAGAAATTTTTAATATTCTCTACTTCAGCATTGGTCCAAAACCAGCAACTGCCGTTTTTGCTCCGGCGATATGCCGTATGAGTCGGTGCGAAGAGGTTTGAAGATTGTGTTATGTATGAGCTCTTCGAAGTATGTTCGGGTTCTCATACCACACCATACATCCTGAAATAATGGCATCCGCTAGAGTTGACTTTATAGAATTGCAGATTTCAGAAAAAGAAAAATAGGTTCTGAAAAAATACATATGTATGTATATGTATATAAACAGCTGCACTTGTAGATCCATTGCGTGTAGCGTACGTTCCCTAAGAGGCATTGGGAATTTTGCGAAACTTAGTAGGTTGAAAATATAGCCGGATTGATAATCTAATTATACTACGTACGAGAGGAACTGCAATCGGATAATTCGCATTGTTGGTCATTGTTCATACATACATATTTCCCTTTTCGTATAATGTATATATAATGTCAAAAGAGTTTGATATTAAACCCGGCTGAACAATATAGCAATATTTCCAAGTCTTTCTGCCAATTTAAGACTAAAATTTTTTGACTCAAATTGATGCCAATCGATAAAGAGAGTCTCCTTTCAATCAGAAATAGGCATGCCACGCCCATTTGTGGACACGTA